ATCAATGATACCACCTATTATTTTGTTACTAATTAATTTTATTACCATTTTAGATAGTAGGAGTTACAATTTTTGAATAGTAGGTAGTATAATTAATTTTTCTCCGTGTATGAGTATTTTTTCGTATTAAACAACAATATAAGTTAACAAACAGCGAAGATACCAGCTGATACACATCGTAGGTTGTCATCCGACTTAGCAGTCTGTGTGCAGTATGGAAGCCACAATTTTTATTTGAAATCAATGGCACAGAAAAATTACTTCATTTATATGTGTATCTTCCATATGAACCTAAATTTCAAGAAAAAAAGTAAAAATTTGCATTTTTTAGAGGGCTGTGAAATTAATTCGTGATTTTTTACCACTTTTTCACACATTGTTTATTAAAAAAAAATAGTTTTAATGAAAATATCGCTTTCGATTGAAGTTTATATTCAAGGTAATTGTATAAAGAAAATTATAAGCCATATCGCAAGATGATTTTTGAATTTTAAACACAATTTTGAAAAAACTCATTTCGAGAAAAACGCGTTTGAAAAAAAAGTTAATGTAAAATAGTATTAAAGTAATTACTAAATCGCTTATAACTTTTGAACGAATAGGAATTTTTACTTGAAATTTTAAATCTATATTTTTGAATAGTTTTACAAGCGATTTATGACAAAAAATTGAATTTTTTTAGCCTGTACACGTATTTCCCCCCTTAATTTAAATTAAGGACATACGGGGTCCAGTTGACCCCAGGCGAACTTTGAAGCAATTTGAAATTTAGAAAGAGATCTATAAATGAGACTTAGTCTCATTTAAGACTTATGATTTAATTGATACTCTTCAAGATATTTCTATTTTTTTATTGTAATAATTATAATAAAAGAGTTTTATCACAAAAAACTAAATCTTTTTATATTATTTTGCATATTTAAATGTCTTATTCTCATTTTAAGCGACTGACCGAAATTCGTAACTTCAAACTTCAAAATAAATATATTTTTTTCAAACTTTATCAATTATTGATTTCTTTCCTTAAAAGATATTGTTTTCCGAATAAAATGGCTTCGATTTTTTTTCGATATCGTAAAAATCAAAATTTCTGCGACTTTTTTTATAAAAAAAGTTAAATTTCGTAAGTTTTTCTTTCTGAACGATTTTTCAGTATTTTTAAATTATTAAAAATTAAAAATAACTATCAAGATATTTAGAGGGAATGTTATATTAAAGTTTGGTGCCAATTACAAGTCAATACATCACATAGGAAACGAATTAGAACTGTTTTGCCGAGTTGTTTTTTATTTTTGGTTAAATGTGTAAAAAATTATAAATAACCTTTAATCTACAAATTATTTCAATTAAAAAAAATTAAAATTTGTAAAATTCTCGATTAAATTTTATTTTTAAAATTGTCAAGTGAAATTGTATAGAAAAAAAAAAATTACACCTACAATAATAAATTGCATAGTAATTATTTACAAAAGTAAAAAAAGAGTTCTCATTTTAATTTCACCACTGTCACGGAACTTGACTCCTTTTTTTTTTAAACTCATATAATGAGTAGAAAATAAACACAAAGTGTTTAAGGTCATATATTAAAAGGACTATTAAAAGAAATTTATTTTTATTGCGACTATCTCTGTGGGAACTGTGAATTCTTTAAAAGTTTGTTTTTTAACATCATCAAGTTAAGTAAATTCAACAAAAAGCCCTGTTTACTACTCTGTATATAATACTATAGTCTATAGTATAGAATAAAATATGATAAGTACTCAAAGAAACCAATATCAAAAGAACGTCTGGTAGCTGTTGTGAAACGTAAATGGTGTTTTTTGAGGGTTTCGCTTCATCGCACCTGAGTCCTCTTCCAGCTTTTTTTTCACAGCTTTTCCAACAATACGCCACGGTAGTTTATAAGTAAGTTCACAGAAAAAAAGTATGAAAGCGTGTAAAAGTAAGCACTAAATTGATAACTCAACGCGTCGAATTTCTGAACAATGTAAATTCAATTTTATTTCCTAGCGAGCTTTTATAGCTAGATTTTTCACAATAAGAAAATTGATTCTTAAAATATTTTTAGGATTTTAAATTATAAAATAAAATCAGTGACTATAGAAATAAGATAAAAAGTAACATTGACTTTTTCTTAAAAGAAATTTATTTTTCATACAAAATTTTTCCGAATAATTTCACTATATTACACAGTAAAAAATTTTGCCTCAAAAAACTTAGTGTTAAAAATTTTTCTGTTAAATATTTAACACTTTTATGTGTAAATTTAACATTTATTCTGTTAAATCAACACAAAAAAGTGTTAAATACTTAACACACGGAAAAAAGTAAACTGTAATATTTTTATAGTTTCAAACAGTAAAGCGGACATCGAGGTGGCAAAAATGTAAATATTACAGAACTTAATGTAGAAAGTATAAAAGCCACAATTCATAATTTAATATCCAAAATAAGTGATTAGTAGCTGTCACTATAGTAAATAACGACTCTTTCATCTTAGAAAATTACAGTTTCAAACAGTAAAAATTGCCATTTCAATATATAGTCCATATTATGAGGAGAAAAGGAACTCAGATGAAAGAGAAGGGGGTCTCACTCTGGGAGAATTTAACATTTGAAACAGTAAAAATTATACTTTTAAAATATACATTTTACCAGACCAAGCAAGTCAATAATTACAGTTTGATTTTTAGCGTTGCGTTTAAAATTTACCATTTTACTTTGTAAATATTGACGTTGCTTGTATTAGAAATTTACTAACTTTATTTTATACTTTTTACATATCATAAGATCATTTTTTAGGTACGAAATGATAAATATTAAAGTCTGAATTCTTAATTATTATACTTTAACATTTTAGACATTTACATAGCAAATATTACTGTTTGAAATAGTATTTTCTTCCATATAAAGAGTAAATTGTAACGTTTAAATGGTAAATATTATAAAGTGAATAGTAAAATCACGATTTGACTGTTTGAAATGGTAATTTTTAGCAGTTGATCATTACTTATTATAAATCGACTGTTATTTATAACAGTTTACATTTTTCCGTGCACAAATAGTATTTTTCTTACCTGGGGCAGGAAAATAAGAAATGTCTCAGATTACATGTAATTGTTGACCGAGGCGAAGCCGAGGTCGACAAACATGTGATCTGAGGCTTTCTTATTTCCTGCCCGTGGTGAGAATACTATTTTTCTCCTCGACGGAGGCGGAAAGCGGCATTTTCGTTTAGCGCAGCGAGCAGAAAATTGACGCTTTCCGCACGGAGGGGAGAAAATTTTTTTTACGCAATGACTCAAAATTTTTAACTGTGTATATCGTTGACCTACAATAAAATAATTTTAGATATTATTGTGGTTGATGATTGTGTCATGAAAAAAAAAAAGGTAATTAAACTGTACCCTGAGTAAGAGAGCTGGGCGTTAAATAATTCAAGATAACGTAACAACACACCTCTTTTCTTCCCCCTTAATTTCTGACTCAGCAATGAAATGTTGCCGACAAAGTTTAATGCATGATGATTAAAGACTCTCTTATCATAAACTTTCTTCATTCCAATGACAAATTATTCGGGCTTTTATAAATGATTATGATTACAGATCCTCAGAAATAAAGTGTAAAATTATTTTAAAAATTCTTTCAGCCTTTAAAAATAGAGTCTTAAAATATTTTAAAGTGAATTCACATGACAAGATTATGATACGTTGTAAAACTTTTTACTTAACATACAATTTAATCTTAAAGCACTTGCGCCAGCTAAGTTCTCGTGTTTTCCGAAGCGATAGTCTTTAAAATTCGATTTTAACTTTTTCTTTAAGTATTTTATAATGATAATAAAAACAAAAGCCGTAAACTAGTACACTAAAAGACTTTACCAAAATTTAGATAAATTATTAAAATGTAAAAAAATTTTTAAACAAATTTTAATGAATAATACTTCACAAATCAAACATTCATCCGATTACGGTGAACTTGTGTGGGCTTTGGCAGGAAAATAGAAAAATTTAAATGCCAGTTTGTCTTTGAGGTTTTGAATCGCTAAAATAAGCGCTTGTATATATTTTTGACCTCGGAAAGATCAATAACAGACGGGCAGATGTATTTTTAAGATAAGCCGTCGTGGTCAATCTTATTTTTGTTTTGTTTTATAACTTTTAGATATAAAAGGACAAAACACATTATTTCAGTTTATTATGACAGCAGCGATATATCTTGAAAGAATCAACTTTGCCGCGTTCGACGCAACTTTTTGATCCTATGGGTGATTTTACTTTAATGTGAAAAACGATCAATCAAAAAATCTCGAAGTCAAATTTTGTTAAAAATTAAAGAAAATTTGATATTTTTTTAACACGTCGAAAAATCAGCTAAACAGTTCTAATTCGTTTCCTATGTGATGTATTGACTTGTAATTGGCACCAAACTTTAATATAACATTCCCTTTAAATATCTTGATAGCTATTTTTCACTTCTAATATTTTAAAAATAGTGAAAAATCGTTTAGAAAAAAAAAACTGACGTAAGTGAACTTTTTTTATGAAAAAAGTCGCAGAAATTTTGATTTTTACGATATCGAAAAAAAACCGACGTTATTTTATTCGGAAAACAATATATTTTGAGGAAAAAATTCAATATTTTATGAAGTTTGAAAAAAATATATTTATTCTGAAGTTTGAAGTTACGAATTTCGGTCAGTCGCTTAATATGAGAATAAGACATTTAAACATGCAAAATAATATAAAAATATTTAGTTTTTTGTGATAAAACTCTTTTGTTATAATTATTACAATAAAAAAATAGAATTATCTTGAAGAATATCAATGAAATCAGTCGTAAATGAGACTAAGACTCATTTATAAATCTTCTAAATTTAAAATTGCTTCAGCGGGTTAAATAAAGAAATTTGATAAAAACTAATTTTTAAAAACCGCTATTTAACTAATAAATTTTGATACTTTCAAAAAGTTCAATTTTCTTATAATTGACACTAGACTTTAATATAACATTCCCTCTAAATATCTTACTAGTTATTTTTAATTTCTAATAATTTAAAAATACTGAAAAATCGGTTGAAAAAAAAAACTGCAAAATAATATAAAAAGATTTATTTTTTTATCATAATTATCACTTCATTAATGATGAAATCAGTCGTAAATGAGACTGTCTCATTTATAAATCTTCTAAATTAAAAATTGCCTCACCGGGTTAAATAAAGAAATTTAAAAACTAATTTTTAAAAACCGCTCTTTACCTAATAAATTCAGATACTTTAAAAAAGTTTCAATTTTCTCAGCGGTAAATAGAAAGAGTGGCATAACGAATGCAGAGAAAAATACCTCGAGTAGTGAATAAAAATGTACATATTCCTAAGTGTATTTTCTTTTAAATTTATACACAAACAAGTAAAAATATAAAGCAAACTCACCGAGCTTAACATAACATGTACGAAAAAAACCAGAACCCAATATAACGCTAAGTAAGCCAAGTACTCCCTGTGGAAACTCCGTAAGTAAAAAGAGAAGTAATACAGCTAATAGCATCTTGGTAGTTCTGTCAGTTTGTCTTTGTTTGTCTATAGCTTTAGCTGATTTTTTTTTACTTTTTTTAACGTCACACGAGCTATCGCGCACTTTGTCGTCAGTTTTTCTCACTAAAGTCGCGTTTATCAGGAGCTTTCTTCTTTTTTTTGTATCCATAAGCGCCTTGATCAGCCGAAGACTCAAAATGGTCAGAGCGATACAAGGTATAAGTTTGATCACAACACTGTACATGCAAAAATTAAGTAAATTAAGCAGACTATTGGCCTTCATTGTGTCACTCAAGTCAACGAACCACAAAGTCTGATTAACTTTTAATTCAGTCGAATTGTACAAACTTGAATTAGTTAAATTATCATTTGGATCGAACAACTCTTGGGTGGATCGGACTTTTGTAGTAAAATAAACCGGGAGACAAATTAACGGGCAAATTAAATAAGTTCCTAATATAGTTAATACTGTTCTTTTAATGCTACACCATTCATTATTTCTCCGAGGGTAAGCTACTGCAATGAATCTCCAAATTGCCAATGTTACTGTCAGCCCGATGGATATTGTGTGGAATATTTGGGTGAAAATAGAATGAACTAGCACAAATACAGCCCAACCGTATGTGTACATGTCTTTTCTAGGCCTGTGGTACAAGTACATGTGACTTGCGTAGGGGATGTACTCCAACATTACTAGCAAGTCAGCTACAGCCAATCCAGTTAGAATGTAATTTGTCGGAGAAATCATTTCACGACGTGTTAAGACCATTATATTCAAGGTATTGGCAATTGAACCGAAGATGCAAACTAGCAAACTTAACCATCCGTGCATTTTCACATACTCCTGATGAAAGTGGTCCAACTCTGGACCGCATTGGAACATCGAGATGTTTTGAGAGTATGTTTCGTTTGTTAAATTCATTTTTTTTTAATTTTAATGTTAATAGCAATAGACCTGGCATGCAATTTTTATTCATATTTGTGCATACAATTTTTTTTATTTAAATTTATCTAAATTTTGTCGATTCATTCTTGACATTTTTATTTAATTTAAATTTTGAGTTTGAAATTTTTTTATTAATTATATTCATCAGTAAAAAATTTACCGCGCTTTGCAATTTATTTTTGGCATTTAAAATTTTTTCGGTCAAACACTTCACTAAAATTTTATTCAATTGTTTTTAATGGTGTTTGCTCACAAATGTTAAATAAAATTTTGAAATAAATAACGCGGTTAAATATCGACGGATGATTTCCGCTCCGCGTGCGACCGTCGAATGTGGTTAATATGAGCTTTGCGACGCCTCGAAGATGAAATAAGCTCCGTCGCGACGCATGCGTTTAACTTTCACATGTAGGTAGTAGTGTTCTTTCTATTCTCTTTGACTTTTTTTATTTTATCTTTTATTCTGTGAACACAATACATACTATACCCCGTACCCGTACCCGTACCCGGTGTAATGACTCTGGATAAATTCCGGTAGTAACGATTATTATAAAAATTTATTGTCAAAGGATCAAGATAGATTTCATTTAAGCTCGCGTTTAATAATAATATAAATATTTTCTTCCGGTGTTATCTTTTATGGGCTTCTTTTTTTTTTGGCAAATCTAGAATAACAAAATCTTAATAAATTAAAGCGCTCTAGTTTTTTAAGAATTAATTTTTTTTTTTTTTTGCAGGTAGAAATAATTCTTTATTGAATTTTTTATGTAATCATATCGCTCCAATTTATGATACAATAATATAAATGTAATGGTTTACTCGAAGATTGTATTTTTTAAATTCATCGTAATATTTATGGTATTAAATTTAGTAAACTGAACTTTTGGCAAGTGGAATGTTTTTAATGCCAGTTGGCAAAATATTTTATTTAATATGATTGATTATTTCATGAAATAAACATTTTTTATTAAACAAGAAATAGTTATATTTACTAATGACTCATGTTAAAAGATTAAAAATTGAATCTTTTAATATATATTATAGATTTTGTATCCCACACAAATTCTATTTCAGAGCTTTATTTGTAAATATTAAAATTTTTTTTTATTATTAATAGAAATTGTAGTTTATTTATGAATGAATTGTAATTGTTTTTTTAATCGATATTACTAAGAGAATAAATAAAATTGTGTGGCCAATGTATTTATACGACAAAATGGGTTTTTATGGTTATATTTGTGAACTATTGACATTTTCAAAAATATAAGCTCACCCCGATGTTACACTCATCAAGAGCTTTCATTTGAGTACCCACATCAATTTTTCATATATTTATATATTTTATATATATGTATATATGAAAAATATATCAAAATGCATGTGGGTACTCAAATGAAAGCTCTTGATGAGTGTAACATAAAAATGAGCTTATATCTTTAAAAACCTCAATAGTTAAGAAAGTACAGTGCAATTTAACATAATTGAAAAATGACCTTGTATCTTGTGAACTATTGAAATTTTTAAAGATATAACTTCATTTCGATGTTACACACATCAAGAGCTTT